ATAGTTAAAATGATGGGAAGAGATTTTGGAACTCAAGAAAACTTGCGCAGATGATCTTCTCCCCCATATGTCACATACAGTTTTTATTGTGTTTTTTGTTGTTGTTTTTTGAATAAATAAATATAAGTGAAAATTTAGGTTATTTGACTAGCGATTTCAGTCATTGTCTAAGGGAGAATTCCAGTGGCCGGCTACTGTTATCGAAAGTTTCTGTAGTTTCTCCGAATAATGTCAGGCGAATACCGGAGAAATATTCTAACAAAGCCACGAACAGACCGCGATCTTTCCTTCTATTACATTCTCTTTTCCTCTCCTCTTTCACTCAGAGACACGGCTCTACAGTCGTAGAGGACAGACATGTAAAATATCACTTTTATGCTATCACACCTGGCATTCGAGAGATAAAAGCATTCATGCTGGGGACCCACGGCGGTTTACGATACTAGGAAGGGAAATCTCACTATAGACGCATAGGTCGCTGATGGATTTCAATTCTAGAAGATGTGAAACATCACCTCATTTCATGGTTTACTTACACGACACTTGCGGAATTAACGATCATATTAACTAAAGCAGCTGGAAATACTAAATATTAAAGCATATATACGCAGTCATATTCTAAATGTGTTCAATATTTTCGAGTTTTTCTTTGCGTTTGCTTTGAATGTAATTTGAGTTCATTGTTTTACAACAAATGAAGAGTGAAATTATCTGATCACTATTGGAGTTACATTCGATATTTGTTTCCTCTAAAACTATTAGACTTGATTACAATATTTATCATTAAAATTGTATTTCTTTGACTATAGCACTCGTAAAATAAAAATTCAATAATATTTAAATATAGATACCCTTATCGCTTTTCTATCTGATTTTCTTACCGCTTATTTATATTGGCCAACCACAAACTGTGACTCATCTATCTTAGAAGATGGAATTATACATCGATCGCTATGTCGATGTCGAATACACCGCGTATGCACTGTAACGTTTTTTATTTTAACATAGTTTTCGGTTATTTTGAATATTTGACGCATTTGAAACTTGAGTGAACATAATTACACTCCTGGACTCGGGATTAAACTCGTGCTTTAGAAAATCTCATATAAATCTCCCCCTCTCTTCGTGAGTCGGGAATTTATCGACAATTTCCAATACACTCGTGGTGTTACCTATGATAATTTTCAAATATAGAGCCGTTATCATTTTAATTTAAACACTTATTGCCACCTGTGAATTGAAGTAGATTTTAACATGGAAACGAAAGAGACAGTTTTGAAATCGTCAATTGGTAACATTATTTTATGATTCTATCCACATAATCCACTAAGAGTTTTCGTTTAGAAATGGATTTTAAAATGGGAATAAACGAGACAATTTTGAAATCAATTCGTGACATATCTACATATCATACTAAGACTTTTCGTTTAGAAAGATATTTTTGCTTTCTTGGCCAAATTTGTGATTTTTTGAAGTATAAAAGTGGGTATTGTTATAGATTGTTTTAACTGGTTTTATAGTAAAGCGCAAAGTTTAATAATGTGTTACAAGTGATAGAATAACGCAGATCTGCCGTCATTTTCAGGATAAACTATGGTACAATTATGGTTGGCCTTGATATCAGATTCTAGCGTGCGACGCAAAAATAGCGAGTTTGTTTTAGGTCAAAAATTGCTTTTAGTCGCAAAGATTAGTAATTTTGTTAAAACGCTCTTCCAGACAATTATCTGTTTCTAAAGTGCGAGAAGTAGATCACGAGAAATTTTCAGCGAGAGAAAAAAGGTTTGTGATGCATTAATCGTTTAAAGTATGTTGGGCAGCAGGTTATCCTGCTATAATGCACTTCAACACACATTCAGCAAGTGAACCATAATGGACTTAATTTAGATAGTATTGGACCTCGTGATTTAATTCTTAAGAAACCGCAACGAACATGACATATGCTTCCAGGATTGTTTGTCAACCGGAGTCTGAACTCGAAGACGATTTGTTACCGAAGAAAAATCAAAATGTTTCATATTGGAAAATGGGCCAAAATAATTTACTTCCAAAAATATATTATTCATTACTTCTGTGTCTCCCGTTTTAAGTGAAATCCTGGAAGCTCTGAACAGCAGCAGTAGTGCAACAGGAAACAAGCTTCGGCAAGTCTCCAGACCAGGAAACAGATATGGTCACTTAACTCCATATGATGACATTAGCATTCGAGTAGATAATTAAAATTCAGCTGAAAACGAACCTAACGGTATTTTACAGACAACTTCCGCTAGACGACCCCAATGGTTAACAATATTTTTTTAGATACTGTATATGCTGGAACTCCTAATTTTATAATTTCACTTTAATGTCCCGCTTTCATTACATGGTTAGAATCCTAGATGAAACAATTAAACTCCTGTTTTCCTCAGAACATGCTAGCTGCCAGCAATCCGAGTAAGATATGTAAGTAGCAGTGTATATCAGGTTAAAAATTGTAAGTATTTTTACTGTGTATCCGATTATACGGTCTGCTCTTATATACTTAAACATAGTTTATGACCAGAAGTTACTGTGAGAAAAAATGTTTCAATTAGAAAGCTTGTCAAACTTCTTAAGATTTCCCTATGTACTATTCTTTAATATGGCCATGACATTTGATTACACTTAAGTTGGTCGTCGAAAACGATGACGCTGACACTGGGTCAGGGTAATGCAAACGCCCCCCCCCCCCCGAACATTATAAATTGTACTACGTTAAGAAAGATGATTTGAAGTCTGCGTAACATGCTCTGAACGTTGTTTAATATCGCTATCGATTGGGAAGTCACCAGGGAACCTAGCATTTTTGATTTCCCTCTACCACTTACACAGTAGAGTGAAAGTTGTGCAATGCTACGCGACAAGACGGCGAATTTTCTGTTAAAAAAAAACACTTATTACAGGGCCCTGGTAACGAAAAAGTGGGTATATCCAGTTGCTAAATTTAGAAAAAATCCTCTTAACACGTGGTGTAGCCAGAATTTATGTTTTGTGGGTTCTTGATACTGAAAAATAGATTGGTGGCAAAACGACCGTCTGTCAGGCCTGCTATGAACAACGCTATCCTCTAAACCTTCAAAGCGATTTTCTCCAAAATTGATACTGCCAATCGATCTGACTGATGTTACGGCCCCTTTAATTTGAAACCGATATTTTAATTGTGGGGTGTACTTTACGCGAATCCCCTGAGACACTTCAAATTTTTTAAACATGACTCAATCGTTTTCGATTATTTTATGGTCAATTTACACAGTTCGACTGCTTTTTTAATTTCTGAGTTGATTTTTTTTCTAAACAAATATATTCATTTTTTTGTAAATAGTAAACAATTTACATGCTTATAGTGTTTTGTTTTCAAATTTTCGCCTTCAAAGCATTTTTTTTAACCAACTTTTGAATATTTATTGCGGCTCAGCCGTTCGGAATAATCAAGTAGTTTATTTGACAAAATATGCTTCATATTGTTTTAAAACTTGGAAAACAATCTGTTAACGTTTTTCTGCCCGACACCTGTAAATGAATGTTATGTTCGAATGACTTACAAATGCTGTTAATTTTGGTATCTGGCTGCATTTAAAATTCACGCTGATAATTGTGAAGCAAACTGATGCATGAAGCACTCTGGCTAAAACCTGATGGACTGTGCAACGGCTCACCCATATCTTTCATCAAGAATTACTTTTCCTAAAGGTCGTTCAGTGGGCCAGGTTCCAAGGCAATCACGATAATCAGCGACGTAGGCGACTCTCACGATATTAATTGTAAACAGCTTTAGTGCTCAAAAATCATTTTTGGAAAGAATGAATGAAGGAAACGGATATGACAAACCCAGTGCCACAGGTATACGAAATCTTGGGAACATTCAGAAATAATAATTACGATCATTATATCTAATGGAAAATAAATTGGTTAGTGACTTAAATTGTAAGTATGTTTTGCAATATATTTTTCAAAAAGCATGAAATACAACTTATTACCTTACCGAATGCACATTTGCTCGTAGAAATAATTTTTTTAACGCTGAATAGTCTGAAAATTTGAGGAAAGCATTGTACTGAGGATCTCTGATAATGAGAACAAGAATATTGACATATTGACAAAACGTCTGTTCGTCAATCTGCGATTAATCACGTCTAAACCGAACATAGGACATTCCCAAAATTCCCCTATCAGGTCTGACTAACGGTGTGCACCTTCGAAATTTAAACTGTTGTTTGAATTTCTGTTGTGACCTGACAAACGCCCCCTAAAACAATTTCAAAATTTACTCAAAAAGGCTTCAATTTTTTTCTTCAAATTTATTTCTCTACTAGAGGACACTGTTTAAGTACCATATTCGTTAACACTTTTGAGAGTGAAATGCTACTTTTGTTAATCGAATATCATTATTAGACATCAGTTGTTAAGTCGCAAAAAAATTACGGGTTAGACGCCAAACGAGACACTGAAATATTTTTAAATAGGCACTAAGAAAGTCACTGAAAACAAAATCACGAACATATTTCACAAGACTTGCACCGAAAATAAGCCAATATCAAAAAAGCAATATAACATGAAAGAATATTAAGGAGTCATTAGTGAGTGAGCCGCGGGTGGGCTCGTGAACTACTTTTGTCATCCAAGCTGTTTCCGGTACTTATCGCTAGTGAAGCAATTACTATTGAAGTCACATTTCACTACCGTACAATAGCTGAGGCTTTCTACAAAAGGTACTCAAAAGTCCATGCCGCATGTTGGTGAACTCTCCCTGTAGCAGCGAATGAATATTACTGGATAATACAAATGAATGTGACTTATAATAGTAATCCATGCAACCAATAAAGGGTCGTAAAAGCCTACCCCATATTTATTGAAAGATGTTTTGCCGAAGCGAAAACCCAGAAAGTCAGATAAATCGAAAAAAAAAAACAAAAAACTATTGTATATCAATGTTTAGAAAACACGTGTATTAGTAGAAAGATTGTTTTGGTATTACTTTCTTACCTTCTCGAAGGTCTATTTATGTAGATATCCTTATTGAGTAGATGTGTCTTCTCCAGGTCGGGCGTTCGATGGCGTATAGTGATGTATGTGATCAGGCCAATGTAGACAATCAATAGGGTTCCAATAGGTGCGATGAAGTACAGCAAACTTCCCCATTTCGAAGAGTAAACTGTAATGGAAACAGTTGTGACTTATAGAATAACGTCTCAGGTGATCTAATTTAATTTATTTAGTACAAAAATGACAGTAAAACCGTATGTGACTTATTGAGGAGAAGATAATCTATGCACGTTTCCTTCAGTTTCATTATTCCTTCCCAATATTTCATCTATAAATAGTTGAAAGATGAATAAATGTTTAAAATAATAAACCAACCAAATAAATAATAAAATTTAAAAAGCGATTGTAGTCACATTTAAGAACTAAATATTTTCGTTCCCCAATTGTAGAAAAGGTATTTGCATCGGTAAACGAACTGAATTGAATTGAATTTGCCTTATTTTACGGAGCGAGACTCGGGCCATCACGCCCGCTCTTTCGTCTGACCACGCAAATTACGCTGCGCTCTTTTCACCCAGTAGCGGAGAAATGCGCTATATCTTGGGCGACGAAACAGGCTATTGAATTTAGCTCAGAGGCGTCATTTAGGCTTAAGGATATTTTACATGCAATTAAATCTACTAACATGAGACAGCCGGCTTTACTTCCCCTCCGAAGGAAAGTGTACGAAGGATTGTTTTTGATTTGTGATTGGGAATACATTGATACGAGTATCGACAAAATGAATTTGAAGAAGTTTTTGAATCTTAGCATTTGGATTATCAATACAGAATGTTTACGTATAAATGTTACAAACTTACTGGGCTTGTAGATGGGTCGAAGATATTTACTTTTAGCCAGTGTACATGTACTGCAAAACTTATAGCAGACGTGACTTAACTTCCAGACGGAAGGGAATTTACATTCTATGAAGATCGATTTATAACGTGTAAGATGTTTGCAAAGGTACACTTGCACAGTAATATCACCCATTTTGACCCATCCATTTTATCCACCCATCCATCACCCATTATCACCCACCCAGATTTACCATTAAGTCGATTAAGTTAGATTCATGCTTTTCATTAGCTGGTAAATAAATATCATGGACAATGACAGTATGAAATTGGAGCCTAATATTCTTTTCTGTTTTAAATGTATTTGGAGGATGGCTACACTAGGAGCAACGTGAGATATAGAATCGATAAAAAATTATGTCATGTTTACAAGTCAACGTCGAAAAATAGATTACTAAGGGTATCATTTCGATGCTAATTCGCATAGTACCACTGTAGCATATCGTTTTGAAGTACACTTTATACTTTATTTCAAAGTGTTCTAAATATGGGATCATCAGTGTCTAATTTCGTAGTTTTCAATTTTTTTGCTCGATTGTGTTTGTACAAAATTTTGCAGAATGAGTTTGTAATTCATGGTGGATTTTTAATTTTAAGTACTGTGTGTTATAATTCTAACCAAATAATCGAATATACATGTACTATCCGATTTAAAAAGATCTGTCTTGTTTAATTCAATTACGCCTTTCCCCTCTTATTTATTCAATTATTCCTCTTGTCATGAGAAAAGTGCAACCTCATTATTTATAGAAAGTTCCTAGCTTTTGTCCATCAGCTAGGTCTCTGAAAACATTCACTTCAGATTACAATTTCAATGAATATTTTTTAACGCAGATTTTTCTTTGTGCACCCATGTTTTACCTTTGCTTATTATTTCCAGTAGGGGCTTATCGTTAGGCTTGTATTCTACGACGAATCGTATGACGGACTTGCTACACTCCCCGGGTATTCAAGATGGTTGGCTACATACAGAGTGTTACCACAATATACGTACCATAGAGTAGCACAGCTCAATCACTTTTTTGGCTACTTAAGATGCGCGCGCATAAAGCTAGCGATCCTGGTAAAGAAAACGTAAAACTACGGATAGCTGCTACAGAAGTATACGGATTTGTTTGTGAAATTGCGTTTATGTTGCCCTGGTTAAAAACTTAAAACATAATTAGTGTTGTTTCTTGACCTCGTGGATATATATTTCTTGGATTTCAATGGAAAGATCAAATATCACGAAGAAACGTAGAATCTACGTTTTAACTTTATATTTGATGTTTTTCGGAATATATTTGATATGTATCGGGAAATATTTAATATGCATTAATTGAATTGTTATAACAATGCTTGTGTCGGAAGAGGTTTTTTTTTTTTTTTACTTTTCCAAAATATCTAGAAAAGAAAGATAGAAAGTTATTCGAAAGCTCAACACAAATGTTATTTATTACCTCCTAGATACCCTTACTAACTATTCGAATTTATAATACTCTTGTATATAATTTGCAATTCATGCTAGATCCTTGCGAAGCAATAATGTCTCACAAGGTTATCTTCGCAAATGAAACGAACATATTACGTTTATACGCAAAAAATAGTGTCTGACACTCTTCGTGGAATTGAGAATTTTTACTTTTATGAGAAGGATATCTTACAAAAAAGTGATAATTTACTGTTCTGTTATGGTTAGTATGCGCTGGATTGCATTTCTCTACGAAGTTAAATACAGCCTGGTATAGCCGAATTTGAATAGCTAATATGTTTGATTGTAGCATCAACTTTCTAGACTAGAGTGACTTGTGTGCTGAAATTGTGGTGAAGTGATTACCACAATTGAATTCGTGAATTTAAAAGTGAAATAAGTCTACTTTTTTCGTAAAAGAGTGGAGATATATACATTTTCTTTGTGATTCTCCAAGCTATAGATCGGTGTGTAAACGTAACTTTTCGAGCGTGACAAAGTCCAGGTTAACTTAAATTTCTAATATCGGAAAAGAGAATGGAGTTCAGGACTAGTTTCTGATCTTCACACAGAAGAAATAGTATATTCAGTTAGGAAACGCCTCAATGCTCTATGACAACACTAATGAACACTGAGGACATCATAGACTTCAAACCCTGGCGGTCGAGCTCAAGTCTCTTGCTCGTCTTGGCAGTTCGCATTGTAAGCTAGGTGTAACTATTTCCAAGTAAAGCAGCTAACGTATGATAGATAATATTTTGGTTACCTCGAGGCACGTGAGTACAAAATAATTACGTACATAGAACCTAATGAATGAGAATATAATACAGAATGTATGAGTGAGTACGTATTGATGGGATTGTTTTTGCCAGCGGGAAAGCACGTTTAAATTTCTCTTTCAAGATAGTCTCAGTCCAATGAACGAAAGAAAATAACCAATACTAAAAAAGTAGTAAAATGTCCCTCACGAATATCTCCATTTCTACCAGAAAGTATAGTCGTAGACACAGACTCGAGTAAACATTGATGATTAATAGATTAATAATATTACTTTTTTAGTAAGAGAATTTTTCATGTATTTTTCAGTTTGTGTGTAAATAGCGTTTATATTTCTTTAATATTTTTAAAGGGACTCTAATAATAATAAAAATAATAATAATAAATTTCACATCAATATAACACTATGTTAATTCACATCATTATGTACTTATTCCACCATTATATTGTTATAATAGTTTTATTGATATAACGTATAAAAACAGTTGCACCAAACAAAATGCGTCAAAACACTACGGCATTCCACAGGTGATTTTCCTTTAAATCAGAATTTACCACGCCGCTGAATATTCAGGAAAATCAGCAATTGCCACGAAACGCTTTACTTCGCATAGAATAATAAGACTTTGTAGAATGCGAAATGCCGAGTTGCTATGAACCAAGTGTATGAGAATCGTTAAACGGTAAAAGAAGAGCCAAGAAAGGATTTCAAAAGCAGAAAATTTGTAAGGTTCACCGTGAGTAGAAATTGAGAATCTGCGTAAATGTGATACCATCGTCTAGTAAACCAAGAAAGTGGGTAATAGGAGTCATTGCGCTGATAACGCATTACTAGAACAAGATGCAGAATGCGTCTTGCCGGGCTACTGGCGCGAGCGGATGAGAATCGTAGAATTGAAAAAAGAAGCACCAATAGTAACCTATTTTCAAGCAGTAATAACCTTTGTAAGGATCGTCTCCTTAGTGTATGTTCTAGAATGGCTAGCTACGTTCTAGAGTCCGGGCTGAAGGTCGAGTTGCTAGATTCCCCTGCGATCCTGCGAAATTTTCACCTTATGATTGGGGCTGGAACGGTTTGCACACAGCCACGTGAGAGGAAATTGAGAGGCTATGTAAATGTGGCGTCATCGTCGGTCTAGTAAATCGAGATAGAGGGTAATTGGAGTTGTTGGGCACATAACACATCACAACAAGAAGATGCAAAATGCGTCTTGCCGGGCCGCCGTGGCTCGAGCGTATGATTAATCGTGGAACGGAAAGAGAAGGACCAATAGTCACCTTGGTTTTAAACCGGTAAAAACCTGTCTAAGAATTACCAATATAGTGTAGGTTTTTTCAAACGCACTAAACACTTCGTCATTGTTACTGTATCTACAAAAAGAAATATTTCTTTCCAAACCGAAAAAAAACATAACGGGCGTAAATAAGCTCTCACGTCACCTGAAACAAAGGCAATGGCCCATTGCCAAGGCTGTCGACCCCCCTCCCTTCCCCCCACTCGCACTACTTCTCCGAACGCCTTTCGCGGAGAGGAACTCTGCCATCTGGTGGAGAAATGACGTCAGCGCAAACACTGGTCTAGTAAATCGAGATAGGGGTTAATGAGAGTCATTGCGCTGATCACACGTTACCAGTGCAAGCTCCTCTGGTAAACAGAGGCAACCCACTCAGTCGATCGGTCCTGACTCTCCATGAGTTGTTATGCCAACGATGAAGCTTTGTCTCTTCCTTCATTAAGATTAGCCGCGTTTACATAGTTATTTATAGGTGAAGTGTCGCTTCACCTCCTTCGTCTGACCGGTCATAATATTCTCGGGACATGCGGCCGTTGGTTTAACCTGAATAGTCTGAATACGCTTTTGGCATATTGGCTTGAAGTGAAAATGCATCCACTTTCTGAATTTTAATATAACACAGACATTGATCGGTTCCTGTTATTGAACAACAAATTTGTTTAAACTAATCCTGGTATATGAGAAGTGTCATTAGTCGTAATATCAACATTATTGCTTTGTGAATTCGCAATCTATCGTAGAATAACTCAGCATTGCTTCTGTGAAAGATCATGATACTGACCTGATTCTTCATAAGTCAACCAGGGAGCTGTAAGAAACTGAGTGTCCGTATGTCACCTAAAGCTCACTAATTTTGTCATGTTCTCTGGATCTGGCAGGAGCAATTACCATACTCATTCGTTAACATATTCGATCAATTCTTCATTGATTTATTCTGTATATTATAAGGCAACAAAATTAAACAGCACCCGAATTTCGATTTTCACGACTACCATGCATGTGTTGCTAACGATATATTTTCTCAAGACGAAATTTCCGAAATGGCTGAAGTCCGCAACGATGATTTCTCTTCTACTCGTGAAGTTTTCTAGGTATCTGTAGTTTGCATAACCTCCGGCTGCAAAAACTCGTCAGTGGCGATTCGAGCGTGTAGACATATTGTCTCCACGGATAATCCTTGCTTCTTTTCAGTTTGAATTACTCCTCGGTATTTTCAGTTACATATCTTAGAAACTTAATATTTTCTTCCCATTTTTTTTTTCAAATGTATCCTCTACCCGATCCTGCGACAAATAATTGTTTCGATTTTATCTAGATCTATTTTCAATCCCTCTTTCTGGGACCATTTAAGCAATTCATCAATTTATTTCTGCCACTGACCAATGTAGGTCTTCATAATTCGCTACGCTCTGTAATCGTCGGGGAATATTGTAAATACAATTTTGGTAACTATGTCATTACTATAAATAAGTGTAACCCCACACGCGTCTCCGCGTGTCTGGAACGGGAATGGGAATTTCAATAATAATGGTCAAAAACATTTGGATTAACAAACATTTACATTAAAAAATTGATGATGATGATGATGAATTACAATGATTTTGACAAATTTTAATAAAAATATAAACCGACCCCCTTCTTTCATTATGACATGGTCATCTACTTAAATTAATACAATAAAAACAAACAATGAGTCTTCATGGTTACTTTGTCCTGAAGGCACCCTTTCAACCCCCTCGCTTCGCTCAGTAAGTGTTCGACCGCATATATGCGGGAGCCAAGTGGATTATTTACCCTCGTTTCTGTTGGCGGGCCTCTTTGCACGCCCGGGTTGGTTAGGTGCGCCCGCGTCAATCTGTTCGGGCCGCCCCCTATCCAGGCAGAGGCGGTGGAACACAGGGGCTCCCAGCGTAGCCGTTTGGTGTCGCCGCGCTTACCGCGGGCTCACTACATTCAATCGGTGTCTCCAACCTCGGCAGCCACGGTATTCATAAACTGCGATGGATGGAAAGTTAAACGACTTCCCTCCGCAATATGCTTCGAATGCTTTACTTGATTGACTGAGCAATCGAAGTGAATAATCGTGGACCGAAAAACTATCGAATCGATGATGTTGCAAAAATCACTTAGGTTCTCATGCCGAGTCACAAAACTCGAGTGACTCCCGTGGCCGTTTCCCAAGCCACACAGTCGATTCAACACTCCGGCCCGTCTCCAACCATCAAAGTCTAATTCGACCAACTTCCCGGGCGTCTTCCAGCCATCCAGTTCGAATCGACTTACTCCCGGCCGTCTTTCCAGCATCAAATGCTTACGAGCGGTGTCTAGTAACATTCAAACCTCGCGTTACCCCCTCCCTCCAAAGAAACGTGTATTTCCTCCCGATACGCAGGGTTGAATTTCCCGGAGCAGGGTGGAGGCGTGTTGTTCTGAACCAATCACACGGGAACTCTTTCTTAACGCGCCAGAATTATCCGTTTCTGTTGTAAAAAACTATCGGCCTGTTTTTCTTCGCACGTGCGCCGCTGACCGGTTTGGTCGTAAATTCTCCCCCCCCACCCGAGGGAGGCGGCACTGAGCCTGTTGGCGTTCATTTTATGAGCGGTCGCTTGACATAGGCGGGCCACCATTGACCATATTGCGCGGTGGGTGTCCTGCATAACATTTAAGAACCCTCGCCTCAAAGACGGATCGCGCGCGAATGCTACGACCCCTTTTTTCGCAGGCTGCGTCGCGGGCGTCTGCTATTTTTTCTTATTTTTTTTCATGTACATTTTTGCCAACGCAGGGAGCTGTTACCGTTACATAGAAAAAAAGGAGCGATTAGATTTACTTAGATTGTCTTATATTTATAAAATTAATATGTCAATCAGGCAGGCTTCAATACAGAAATAAAAGAATTACCGTACACCATGACTAGGAGTTTGCACCAGAAAGGCCAAACCCGGTCCCGGTCACCCCTACCAGCGGCTAAGTGGCTTGCGACCACCTTCACCAACCGGTGGCACCATACAGATCAAATAAAGCCTTCTAAGAGTTTGGTAGCTATTGATTTAACTTGCGATTTTAAACTTAATAGGAACAATCTTTTGTCATGACTGAGCGACGACGGTTGTCTGCTATTTTATTCCTGGATGGGGCGTCTGCGAGTCCATGCATGTCATACGAGAACGCGACAATACGTTTCCCTAATAAGCACCCAATCCCTTCAACAATTTAACTCTTACTTCTGAGGACAGGTATTCAACTTAATAGGATAAACCTCTTGTCGCAATTGAGTGGCAGCGATTCAATTCCTATTGTACAAAATCGTGACAATTCAGCTTATCCTTCCAAGCACTCAATTACTTAAACAATATAACTTTTGGTTTAGATGAATTAAACTGGATAGATATTAAGTTTCTTAGCGATCAACTGTTTGTCTCAATTAAACGACCACGGTTGTCTGGCGACTGATCCCTGGATCATTTCCTATCGTGCTAGAACGTAAATATTTAGTGCTTCCGTCCTAAGCACTGAACCCCTTAAATAATTTAATACTCAGTTCATAGGATTTCAACTGGAAGGATTCTTCAACTGGCGGCCCGCGGTGCCATTTATCCTGGCACGCGAAATATTATTAGGCACAAGTGAAAGCCCCTTTCATCTATATCGAGCGCGAATATTGCGCGCCCATTGCACGCGACCTGACAGAGCCACCTTCTCTTTTATGAAACAATCGGTTCAATTTATATTTAAGGATTTTTTTAGTATATTCCGAAAAAAAAGTCCTCCCAAAGTGCTTTACTGCCGTGTGCAGATATTCCGAAAAAAAGTCATCCCAATATGCTTTACTGCCGTATGCAGATATCGGCTAGATATCGCCCATGGCGTATCCGAACAGCGGTCGCGGCGGAGGGTTATTTCTCTGAATTACGCGTGATGTTCACTTGTTAAGCGAACTGTCTTTTTGGCTGGTTCTTAAGCGGTTTCTTCTATACAGAAGGGTTGTGGTTGTACCGACGAAGAGTGTCTGATGTGCCTCCATCTTTGAAGCCAATTGAATGCATGTTTTTTGCAGTCAAAGCTGCAAAGTTTCCCTCTGGGAAACAACGTATTCTAACATTACGTTTGGCGCTAATTACGGTTACACCGCACCTCATATGTTTCGACTTCAAAAACATGGCGGCGACTAGTTCGGCGAGCCTCCCCTGAGCGCGCGGAAACTATACGGACAACCACTCTTGAAGTGAATTGAATTGAAGCCTAATTTTACTTGGCGAGACTCTTATATTAGACGGTTATGAGGCCTGCTCTTCTGTCTGACCACGCAAATTTCGCTACGCTTCTTTCACCAACTAGTAGAAAGGAGGTATTTCTTGGGCGAGAAATAGGCGATTTGAATTTAGCTCAGAGGCGTCATTGAGGCTTGAGGATCTTTTACATGCAAGTAAATCTATTACATGGACCAGCCGGCTTTACTTTCCCTCCGAAGGTGTACGAAGGATGTTTTCGTCCTTAAAAATCCACGGCTTCGATCGGCCTTAGCCCGCCAACTTGGGTAAAATAGTCCGACACGTTAACCGTTACACCATCGCCGCCGCACTCTATGTAGTATATTTTGCTCGTTGCATTTTGGCTCTTTCTTAGGCGGATTCGTCTGCACAGTAGGGTTGTGGGTGTACTCACGGAGGGCGTCGTGGTAGCAGAGGCGTGTGGCGCGCAACAGGGGGCGTGGCAGCCAGGCGGGGAGGTCGGGCAGTAGCCAGGCGGCTGCGGTGGCCCCGGCCATCGCTCCAGCGCCGCCCCACGCGATAGCCTGCTGGGTCCACGCGGTGGCCCCGCACGCGCTCGGCTCGGCCCGCCTGCGCAACACAACAGCGTTCTCGTATTTAAGGGCGCTTTTCAACCAGTGGATCATAAGCGACCACGCGTATCGATTTAGAACTTGCACAAGAATATACATTTTACATTTTGTACAGTTATTTCATTACACAATTACATGCGATTCATTCACGCATATAAATGGTCAAAAAATATAAATATTTTGGGTATTTATGTCATTGGGATGGATGCACATTTACGTTACACAAGCGTTGAACACATCAACAGCGTTGAGTTTCATGGTTGGATTTTCGAGTTTGCAAGCGCGTCTACATCTACGACATGGCTTATTAGTCCCGTAAGTGCAGTGCATGTTTTACGGCAGAAAGTGACGATGATTTTGAATGGATTCTGGATGGTGAAATCCGACGCCGTTTGATCAGTGTCTACGTGCGTCTACTGACGAGGTGATTGGTCCCGTAAGCGTATTGCATGTTTTATTTTTAAGATCTACGGTCATTAGTCTTGTAAGTGTAACGTGTGTTCTTTATCGCGGAAAGTGACGGTGTTCTTAATCGGATTTTATATGGCGAAATTCGTCGCCGATTGCTTAGTTTCTGAGCACGTTTACTGATAAGTCATTAGTCCCGTAAGCGTATTGCGTGTTTGGATTTTTTGGTAACGCGGGAGGTGGTTTTTACTTGGATGGATTCTGAATGGCAAGAATCGACGATTAATTGGTTGGTGATTCCAGATACGTCAACTGCTGAAGTCATTATTCTCGTACGTGTAGTGCATGTGTTGTCGCGGGAGATTGAAATTGTTGACCGCAGAACAGCGATATCTGGCGCTGATTTTCAAATCTGCCTGCGGATATGTCCCTAACCAGGTATCCCCCACTAGCAAGGCCTCGTCCTAGTCCCCGGTATGTGTGGTAGTGCAGTAATGTGAAATTTGTAAGTAACAGGTGTGAAGAGAACAAGGAAGAGGAAGGAACATTCGCGTTGTACGTGACCCGTTTGTTATGACATTGCTCTGGCATTTTTTTGGTAATCATTGGAGAAACCACGGGAAATTACCGATCAGAGTAATTGCCTGTTCGGATTCTCGTCCAGATAACGACTGAATTCGACAGATCTATCTAGCTAGAGTTCATAATCATGCCATCGTAGGGCCGTGATCCCTTGGACCTCCCGGTCACAGGCTCCAAAATATCAGATGATTTCCTGAAAAATTTCTGCCGGTACCACATTTGGGTAAGAGAACCTTTCAGGGGCGGAAGAGGAGAGGATGTTAAAAATATTAAAATATTGGTGCTCTAATTGCACACTCATTATCTTATTTATAGCAGTTACATTTCTTTTCTATAACTTGTTAATTGTATCCTACTAATATAATACCTATTTCGATGAACATTCGTTAAACTTCTTCAGCAGATAGGTGCGGACGATTGGAATTTGCAATTTTCGGAACTTCCGTCTCTAAATCTCAACACTTTGCTTTAGAGAAACCAATGTTTCCGACAGCTTTTTCATAGAACCTGTTGAATCGTAGTCGTGATTCTTTTAAGTCATCTACGCTGCATGGTTTCATCTCGAACACTTAGTTTTAAGTATTCCCACAAGGAAAAGATCCAGCCGACTAGTTAGGTCATCGGGGAGGTTTTCTTACGTCATTGTTGGAGATCACTATTCCAGGAAACAATCAGAATACACATTCTATTGAGAGATGTGCGATGTGAGATGTGCCGTGTGCGATGTCGCTCCATTTATATGAAACCATTAACGAATGTAAATCAGCGTTTTCTTGTCGAAGCATTGGTAAGAAAGCTCGTTCAACAGGGCCACAAAGGGCACAGATGTTACCGTTACTGCTCTTTCGATGTTGTCGAGAAAAAACATGTCCCAATAATCCTAAATGAACTCTTTGCTCCCAAACTGTTACTTTGGCGCTGTGTTAAAGAGTATTGGGACAGTAATCGTGGATTTTCCTGAGCCCAATATCTAGTTTGTTTATTAACATAACCGCTTAAACGGAAATGGGCCTCATATGGCATAATCAGATTATCTAAAAGTTGTGGTGCTTCAACAATTCCTGACAATTGTGTGCAAAACTCTATTCAGTGATTAAAATTAGGAGGCCGTAATTGTTGAACCACTTGCATTTTATGTAGATGATAATGCGAATTCATATGTAACTTCAGTATGACTCATCTATTTGATAAGTTTAGTCCTACGGAGTGATGTCTAACTTTGGACTTTCAAGTACAGCCGTTTTCAGTCTCCACATTTGATTACAAACTGTTTGTGGATGGCAACTTTTTCTTTCACTTTTCAAGTTTCCTACCCAATTTTAAACCATTTGGCATGTTGGACTTCTCCATTTCTTTCTGTGTTAAAACAACGACCAAAGATACGTTCGGTTAACGTAGACGGATTACAATTAAAAAACAAACTTGGGAGTCGTTTTTCCAAAAATAATTTTGAAACATACACGACCGTATATGAGTTTGTGCTTCTATTCCTTCGAAAAAAGTGCATGATTCTGGAGGGGGAAGGATAAAATATATATTATAATAAAGCTTATTGTAAATCTTACCTGAAAGAAATAACCATATTGATAGCAATCACGTTCATCCAGAATGCCGAACTAACCATGAAGAAGTAAATTAAAAGCGCTGAAAAAAAAGAAAAGAATATTACTTGTGCAAGTTCATAATGCTTGCAATTGTGTGTTTGTGTGTGTTCTTGTTTGTATAAGGTGAGAGAAAGTAATAGGATGAGGGAAGAGTGATCTTGAATCCTCGGAAAACTACCTCTTAGAACAGTCGACCCCTAACATTCTCCTATTGTCGAGTTTCTTTTAGCGCTAGTTGGCGGAAGAAAAGTTCCAGTTTTAAAGAAAATGCGTCAAAACACGATAACTCTCGGCAAGGCTATTTTTACGACATGCAGACATAACTAAATTTATTTGGAATTAATTAAATGAGGGAAGCTATTTATTTGCTTTATTTTCTAAATGGTACTACATAACAAGAAATGTTCACTGAAATGTGCAGTCGGAGATGGTGGGAACTTACGTGCCGTGACGCCAAAGACGCCGCTAATAATCAGGGACCTGGACACCGCGACGACGAAGGAAGTCAAAATTGCTGTAGCAATGCAACTTAATGAAGGAAGTACAAACCTCACAGGACATGAAACACGGCCGAACACCAGGGGGCAGTGCTTTGCTCTTCTTGAATTGAAGGCAGATGATGCCGAGATTAACTATTGGATTCATAGAGAATAAAGATCGTTTTGGACTATGCGCAGAATCGAACTCAAGACATCACCACAGTGTTTCCGATGTCTCGATTACGGGCATCTGTCGCGAGCCTCCAGAGAACCAGATCGAAGCAAGCTGTGTAATAAATGTGGCAGCGAGGGCCACAAAGCAGCACAATGTTGCCAGCCGATTTGTTGCATGGTATGCACAGCGCACGACATCCAGAGAGAAAACAGAGGACATGATATAAAATCTGGAAAATGTATCATCTATCGACAAGCTTTGATAAAGAACAAAGAAACCCAAATAAGATCAACATACTACTAGTAAATATGAATAGAAGCAGGGCGGCCAATTATCTTCTAATGCAAATCAGAGGTGAGATGAATGCAGACATGCTAATCTTGAGTGAGCAATACATTAAGCGAAACGATCCGGGATGATTTAGCGACACGGCAGGCACGGCAGCAATATTACAAGAACAGGGCGCCGAAGATGGGTTTGTTAGGGTGAAGATAGCCGGTGTTATATATGTAAGCTGCTACGTAACTTCAAGCGATCATATCGAAAATTTTCAGACGTTCAGGAAAACACGATCGGGAGGATGAGCAGCAATTTTACAGTTGCTGGCGATTTCAACGCCAAAGCCATCTAGTGGGGCATGCTGCAACGAGACTCGAGAGGTCGACGGAAAATGGAAATAGCCTCCAGGACTGGACTGGGTATATTGAACGTTGCGAACGCATCTACTTTCAGACGCCTAGGGTACACGGAGATGATACAAGAGGTATCATTTGCTTCTCAAGGAATGATAGGGCAAGTGCACGACTGGAAAGTTGTTGAAGACTATACCGCCAGCGACCACCAGTACATTACCTAACAGGTGCGCCTTGATACACTTTACGACTTAGAACACGACATCAATCAAAATGTAATCTGGCAAAACTGGATGAAGTTACGTTCGCAGAGGTAATGACAAGCGGAGCTGAAGTGGCAGCCTATAAATATCGCTGTCGGGACGGAATGCAGGAAGCCGAGAACAGAGCTAACTCCGTCATGAAGCTAATTGAATGCGCTTGTAAAGCGGCGATGCCACGGAAAGGATCGCGGAATAACAGGGCACCTGCCTACTGGTGGAACGACGAGATAGCTGTCTGAAGAAAAAATTGCAAGGCGGAGGTCCAAAGGGCCAGGGAAAGCGAGGATGCTCTAAGACTCTCAGCTGACCACCATAGAGCAAAGAAAGCTCTCCCGAGAGCCATCAAACAAAGCAAAATAAGTAAATGGCAAAGTACAATAAAGGAAATCCACAACGATCCTTGGGGTTTCGGCTGCAAAATTGTAATGCAGAAATTCGGAAGTCCGCCGAGCGTTGTTATGGACACGACGACAAAGGATGATATTGTGAATGCACTGTTCCCCACTCACTCGGAAAGATTTGACCCCAGAATTGTAGTACCACCCAGCGATGTCTCGTTATTTACTGATAACGAGTTTCACTGGCGGTAGAATCTCTTAATAACAGAAAGGCTCCGGGGTCTGACAGCATACCAACCGTAGCGCTGTAGGCAGCGCACAAAGCAGGTCCTGGCTTGATGTTAGACATGTATAACGAAGCATGGCATTTTGAGCTCTCGATGGAACGCAAAGGAGAAAGAAACTCGCCGTCATCATACATACCACTGTGCATGTTAGCCACGGCTGGAAAGGTATTCGAGAAGCTGCTCCAACCTCGGAAACTGACGGCAATAGAAGAGGTAGGAAGGCTGTCTCATCGGCAACACGGATTCCGAAAAAGACACCAATCCATGCAATTGAATCGGTAGTCGACAGAATAGAGAGGGCTGAGACCCGAAATCACCGCTCCCGCAAGCTCACGCTACGTGTACTTTAAGATTTAAAAAATGCATTCAACTCTGCCAGGAGGAGTGACATGCTGAATGCACTCAAGAACAAAGCTACCTGCATTTTTGATGCGTGTAATGAAAAGCTATCTTTGGGACCGTACACTGCTGTACTATAAGACAATAACTTGCAGCTCCTCCTGAGAGTGCTTTGAAAGGATCGATCCTAGGACCGCACCTATGGAATGTCACGTATGAGGACTTGCTGAGAACGACAATGTCTAAAGAGAGCTTGTCGTATACGTTGACGATGTGGAAGTGCTCATTACAGTGTCTACCATTGAGGAAGCACATCACTTAAATGAAGCAATGCGACGCATTAAAAAATGGATGAACGAACACTGCCCCTTGCAAACAAAAGTCGCAAATTGTTGTATTCACAAGGAAAAGGATACGACACGGGTCACACTGAGGGTCGGAGACACAGACATTGAAACATCAAGTGCGACGTTCCTACGGCTCAAGCTTGACCCGAAACTGAGGTACTGGCCTCATATACAGAGGGCAGCATGTAAGACTGCTGAAGCCACAGCATCAAGTTGACTGACGGCAAACACCAACACTCCGAAATCTACTACTACTTTTATGGCGTCTACTACTACTACTACTACTAATTACTACTAGCTTTTACTACTATACTACTACTACTATTACTACTACTACTACTATTTCTATACTACTCATTTCTATTCTACTACTATTTTATTACAATACTATTACTATTACTCTACTCATACTACTATTATACTATATTCTATTACTTTACTAATATACTGAACTATTTACTATTACTACTACTATTACTATTAGCTACTACTATTACTATTACCTTATTACTAATTACTAATATATTACTAACTACTATTACTACTACTACTATTACTACTACTACTATTACTACTACTATATTCTACTACTACTATTACACTACTATTAACTCTACTACTAACTACTATTCACTACTACTACTAATACTACTACTACTACTATTAATATACTACTACTACTACTACTCACTATTACTACTACTACTAACTATTACTACTATTACTATACTATTACTACACTTACTACTACTACTACTATGACGTCTACTACTCGTACGAATACTCACAGAGCAGCGTGCAGTGCGTGGCGTAGTCCGGCGCGAGACGCGCGGCGAGCAGAGCGCTGCGCAGCGCGAGCGCGAAGGCGTGGGCGGCGACGGCGCTCCCCAGGGCGGTGGTGGCGTCGCCCAGCGCCAGGTGCGCGCCCAGGGCCACGGCCAGCAGCGCCGCGGCCGCCGCCTGGGCCCAACCGCTGACCGACGCGTAGCCCTCGAAGGCCACTGGCCGCGCGCACGCCGCCACCGACGCCCTGGTCGCGCACGGCTCGGACGACCGCACAACACCACTGCATGCTACGTATGTACTCAAGCTGTCGGGTGACGCCGCGTCATGGCTAAGGTGCGAGTTTCGGTCCGGCCATTCTGACGCGGCGTCACCCGGACAGCCTAGTAAATACTGACTCCGGCCGCGGAAGCCTACGCTCTCACCACTCATTCAAACGTAATAGTTAGTTATGCACCAAGGGCGTTATAGGGGTTCTAATGATCGAACGAAGACAGAATGCCCCAAAGCTTTTTACCGCCCGAATTCATAACAACCAGTTAACGCCCGCCGTACATGCAAAATTGGTAAAAAATGTGGTCAAGAACCTGTATCACAATGAAATCTTCATCGTAATTAGTATCATTATGCGACAGCATAATGGGTTGCAGCCATCAAATGCCAGAATTATGCAATGGGAGTAGAAAAAAATAATTTATGTTTACTGATACGTTATACTGATCATTGGTCGAAGCCGACGCCCATGTTAAAGATATATAGAAGCTCCGGAATTCGATAGAATTATTTCTTATGATGCTGTGATTGTCTTATGTGTTTAGTGTTTATTAATATTGAACTGAATAACTTCTATTTGTTTTTTTTAATATAAACCGAAAATTATTCGATTTTTTTAGAGAGTCTGGAATATCGCAGTCGGTGATAATTAAAATGGAACTTCACAAATCAAAACAAAGCGAATGAATAATTTAAATCAACTTTTTGCAGCAAAGTATTGATATCACGTGATTCCTTGAGTACATTTTAGAAGAATATTTCTGCATTCTTAGAGGCTGCGTATCGAGTCACCGCACCTTGGACTGTGTGTTATTCTTCCCTCCCTATCAATGCTCTATTTTCTGTCATTTGAGTGACATATGGACTGATTCCCCATCCTGACATCAGTGCGTTCCGAATTTGATACAGGAAAAATCGGGAGAAAGCGTCGGAGTCAGGATTAAGGGCCGTGCTGAGAGTTGTCACAATGTGTCCTACGGGTGTATAATCCAAGTGTTATAGCACGTTAAATTTTATGTAGTAATTGTGTAAGCTATGCGAGTCTGTTTCTCAGATATCTTCCACGCTGGATGGTGAGATCCGACGCCGACGTACACGTTGGCTTGCGGGCTTTCTCCAACGAGATATCTCGCACAAGCGGGGCACCGTCTCAGCCGAAATAAGCTCTGTGTTCCCTATTGGTCTCCGTCATGTGTGATGGTGTTGTCTATGTAAGCGCAAGAGTGTGTAAGTAAAGGGTGAGGCTAGGTAAAGGAAGAGAAAGAAAAGGTCGCACGCGATCCCTGACCCGTTTTGCTCCGGAATTCATTGATCGGAGAAATCACTGAACTTGGCCTAACCATCTAGGTAGCGTCAAATATCCTGCCACCGCTCCACATGGACTCGAAATCTGAAATTTCACCGTCAAAGGCTCAGTCTCTACGTTACTTAAACTTAGTGTAAATTGTAGGCTTTTCCCCATAACATCATATCTAGTACTTCTCAGTCTTTTATATAACATGGGAGTTTGGAGACGTTATATTCGAAGAAAAAAATCCCAGAGCACTAATAATTATCCGTAAACTTTGCTTCTTACGCTTCACATGTGGCTAACATCTATTTCAAAATCTTGCACTAAGATATTTCTTTGCCCCCTGGTTTCCGTTTTGATCGCATGTCACAGCAGCATCAACAAGAAGACACGGTATTTTTAAATTCCGAGTGACCAATAATTGATTTGCTTATTTTATCGACCGTTTATTATATATCTTCAATCTAATTAAAAACACTAATTAATAAGTATGAAAATACTTTGAAAACAGTTTAAAGCATTGGGCACGACACAATAAACTAGTATAAAACTATAATTTATCAAACCAATTGCAAAATAATTGCACATCAACGATAAGTACTTACCCCATTTTCCTGAAAAATCCATCCATCTGGATAGGCCAGCCAGGCATCAACTACATGAGCTGGATACATCTCCGGGTCCTTCACTTCGATCCCGGTAGCGCACTTCGGCGGGCGGCCATTCAAGATCTCGTACGTAACATTCGGGAACGAATCAGTAGAATCGTTCGCCGCGAGCTGCCCGAATGGTGACCACGTCCCACCAGAAGTGCTCGCCACGCAACGCAAATTACTTCCGACGCGCATCACCATCCCCGCAGGGCAACACTTGTGGACACACGTGTATGGCGCGACGCACGGACACATGTGAAACACATGCTCAATGCCGTGGATACCTGTATATTCGTCGGCAGAGTCCACGCAGTATTGCTCAGGGGTGAAGTGTCTGGGCTGAGTATCTCTGGCAGCAGTTGGAGAATACAGAATGAGCGTTCCATTGGGCTCCAAGCTGAATCTGCAAGAAAACATTTTTCATATAATAATAACATTATTTTAAGATAAACATACATCTTTTTTATTTGTTGCGTTCTTTACTTAAAACTTGTATTTAGCCCGTTTTGGTCATTGAAGGTAAATACATTTCAGTAACACGTTAAGTTCCGTGTCTCCTAACGAGGCAGTTAGTTGATGCCATTTATCCCTTCGGCCAGGAGCTCGGTACTGTTAGTTTGAATTGAATGTGCCTTATTTGACGTGGCGAGACTAGTAACCAAGGTTCCCAGATTGTCACCGATCCGGGAATTCAAAGTGCCTCGAGTTGCTTAACTTCGTAACTTAAGAAGCTTGGTTAAGTAATTCGGGTAAAGACGCCAATAAAACAACACCCAAATGAGCGTTAATTAAAGATTGGTGTATTTTGAGAATTAAAACAAATTTAAAAATAAAAAAAAGTTACAAAATACAGAATATATTATATGAAAGTGAACATTATTCAAAATAATAATTAACAAAGAATAGAAATAGAATTATAAATGATTTGTGTTCTGTGGTTATCCGGGTGCTATAATGAAATACAAAATACAATCTACAAATTTCGAGACCAACAAACTCTGATCAGAAGCGCATGAATTTTCACTATTAATTAATTTATTGAAAATGAGTTCAACTGATGCGATATTTCTCAGCAGGAGTTTTCGCTATCTTTACATCTTCCGAAACTTTTTTTTTTCTTTCTTCTTGATTGTCTGCAGTTGGCCGGTCACAACTTTCTATATCGCCTCAATTGAGTCCAATATTGAACTGTTAACGTGGATTTTCAGATTTGGGAACAGGGAATTATCCACAGGATTCTTATAAATTGGATAGATGATGCAGGATGGTCTCTTCATCTTGCATTTCAGGAACTGGAGATTCATTACCAGTCAAAAATGATCCCGAATTACTCATTATTTATGAGTTCAAAAGTTTTCGTCGCTAAAATATAAACTTTCGAAGTTGAATTGCTGTTCCTCCGCCGAAATCCATTGTTCCTCCTCGTGCATTTTCCGAATTTGACATACAACATACCAAGTTATGTAGTTATATCAGACGACTGTGCCCTTAATCAAGGGCTAATGTTTGCCAGTATGACTGTTTTCTATGAGTTTTATACTTCATGGTAAAGCTGTTTGCTTAGAAATAATGCGAAGGTTGGATGAAAATTATGCTTGAGACTTATCAATTGTGTATGTATGTATGTATGTATGTATGTATGTATGTTACTGCAGCTTCGTAGACTGGTGGGTCCAAGTGTAGACTATTTTTTTCGAGTCTCGATGATATTTGATTTACGTTAAGTGGCTGAATCAAGTCATTATTTTTGTAAAACTACATCTATTGTATATTCTTAATATATTTAGTATTGCTACTCAATTTTTGAAGTGGAGAACACTCTGGACAACTCGCACGATTTTAGGGAGCTCAGTCCTTTCAAGCTAGATGGGAGAATAACGACAGGCAATCAGCTACATACATGTTATGCATGCTGTTACTTGTTTTCGGCATGTTTATATTCTAAGAACTTCCTTCAGCATGACACGTCAGGTTACTTTTCAGATATTTGTGCGTCCTCGGAGGTTTATGGTTTGGTCCCACAATACACTCTTTCCGTTAACAACATTAACATGTTTACATTGGGATCGAAATTACTTATTTTAAATATGATCATCAGCTTTTTGTATACTCTACAGCAGGAACTAAAAACAACCCGCACTGAATCAACTTTTCGTAAGCTAGAAAAGACAATCGCTCACTAGATTAAATACCAATGATATGTTTATAAAATCAATTTTAATTTTAAAATTGTATATAAATTGTAAATTGAGAACAATAAATACGTATTACCGCCAGTGGATGACGTCAGAAAGGTATAGGAACTTATTGCAGCAGAGAAAAAGTTGCTTGTAGATTCAATGTCAATATTGAAGTCCGACCAAGTAGGACAGTTAACAAATTCCTATCCCAGATGTTGAAATTTGTGATTATTTGGTAAATAAAAAGTATTCAGTATTAATTATTTCATTCGGAAAATTAATAAAATATCATTAGTGTAGTGCTGAATGACTTAGCAGAAGTAACGTGTCGTTGCCTGGGCATTTTTTTCTCTCACAAGACTACGTCGAATGAAATCGTTCTTTTTAAGCGGGTCCATGCCAGTTAAAGTCTTCGAGCATTTATCTGGAGGAACTTGCTCTCCGTATTCGTTCAATTTCCGCCTTTACATTTTATACTCTGAGCAAATCCGTGACGCTGCGCGATTCATGCGTTTGCCAGCCTACTACACTTAATGTAGTAAGGTTGATGCAGCGTGGGTGAGTTGCGGTGAATACACCCTTGTTGTAAGCTATTATACAAATTTACAATGCGCGCAGAAATTGATGGCTCTACACATTCGACACTCACCAAGCAGCGAGCTACCGTTCGCCCAGTCCCGAACAGCGGATGTGTTCGAGTGTTCGCTCCTTTTGATGTGTCTGAAGGACCGACATGCTTTGTATAGGGCGAGCACCGAATGTTCGTCACTCGGCAAATAGCAAGCCACTCATCCATATTACGTAGGATTCTGCAAGGGGTGGCTCAACGAATAACGAATATGTTGCCGCCTTGAGATTTCTTTACATACCCACGAACTAAAAACAATGGAACGATTTTAATTTGCGTTAGTTTATCTTTGTATGTTAGATAATGCATTAATTTATATTTGCATTGCATACTTTTTTTGACTTAACTTTTGACTTTACTTGTCACAGGCATAGTCAAAAGTCAATGTTCTGTAGCTACCCGGTCATTGCCCCTCATCTCAATCAGAGTTTTGTCCAGTTTTCCTGATTCATTGAGCAAATGCTGTGATGGGTCTTTGTTCCTTTCTAACAATTTTCACTATACATAGTTGAAAGATGAATAAACGCTTAAAAAATTATTTATAGTAAAGATGTTGAGAAAGGTTTATTTTGAAAAATGTTCTAGCTGTTGAATTTTTACGATTTTTCAAGGGTTGAATTATATACATAATTTTTGACAAGATGCCAGCGATTTACATAATAGGTATATGAATATTTTCACGTCGTTGAATAATTATAAATCCCATATATTAAATGTTTAAATTTAATATGTTGAATGTAAGATATACGTATTTGAAAATATTTGGAATATGTATATCTGTGTGTTACTGTTAGAATTTAAGGAGGTTGAGAAATATCTTTCCGAAAACGTGATTTAATGCAGGGAGAATTATAAATTAAAGGAAGGGATTTTGAAGTTCAATAAAACGTGCTGAAATAGTACTTTTTTCCTCATACGTTACTTACCGTTTTTACTGTTCTTTGACTTAATAAATCAAATCCAATTTTGTTTAAAAAATGTAAATATTTGCAGCCAGATCTCGTACTGCAAATATAGACAGAATTATCAAAATGATACTGAAAATAAACAATAGGGATCATTACTTTTTAAAATAAAAAAAATGAATTCTCACTCTCTTGGCGTTCGTGGTTCTGTCACAGTTGACATGTTACTAGCTTAATATTCTTGATATATTAAGAACTGTTGGAGTGTATAAATACAATGCGGATTTTTGCAGTTTTCGTGATTTCGTAAAAATTTATACCATTTTGGAGTGTTACACGAGTGTTTTTTTTGTTCCTAGGGAGAGTGCGCGCTATTTTTGGAAAACTTGTTTTGTGTGTTTTATTAAGTACCATTTTTGTATCTTGATAATACATACAGAAAAGGGGTGCATTTAATTTTGCTTGCCGCTGTTAGAGGCACGCCATTCAACGTGCCAGCTGCATTCGCAACTAGATAGACCGCAGTCTTCTGTCATGGCCGGCGCGGCGTAAGTTTGTTACAACACAATACATTTTGTAGTATCATTTTACGTCGCAAACCCGTCTACTTTTATTCTCTTCCCTTCAAGAATATTCGTACCACATTTGGGAGTTATTACTCCCGTTAAAAGCGTTTTTTGATACATATTCAAATATATGCATACGTATATTCAAATTTATTTACAAGATTATTCTAAGTGAGCCCATTCTATTGCAAGCGTGTAAATCATCGTGGCTTTATATGAGCAAATAGCTTCACGCCTTCAATTCGAAAGATTATGACAACGTGTGCTACGATGTGGGGATATCCTCCAAATCGATACCTGTATATAAATAAACGTGAATATGCGTATGTGTGTCGCACATAGACCCAAAAACCACTCGACTTATTTCACTCAAAGTTACACTTTGTTTTTATTAGTAATGTAAGTGTTTAAAGACTGGTTTCAATTAATTTCAATATGTGGGGGCGTTGTTGATGATTCATTACTTATGACGACTCAGGCGCCCATACACTTTACGTAACTCGCCACACAGAGCACATATTCACTGCGTACAAGTATTATGCCCCTGCGATTGAGAAATATCGGCCAAAATTATTACTTGAATTTCAGACATGTAAATCAAATTTCTCCAAGGTCCCCAATTTTGAAGGAGAACCTCTTAACAATAGGATACTTAAAAAACATGTACAAACCAGGACAGAACAAATCCATAGTTGCGAAAAAGTCATCTGTCACAATTTTTGCACAGGGTAGCATAAAACGTGATTAAGAATCACGTGACTAGTAGTGTACAATGTGTAATATTCAACAGTGAACCATTGTAAACTAATTAAATCCAAACTCTATGGAGATGTGATACCAAAATAAGAACAGAAGATAATCCGTGGAAATGAAGTGAAAGAAAGTGGCGAGGGGGGACATATAAAAATGAGGTAATGGGGATGATAATTTTAATTTTCTCAAATGAACAACTCTTTAAACGCAGGAGATTAAGTAGAGCATAAACCTTGTAGGAAACATGAAAAGAAAATAAGGGGATCCACAAACGTAGACTAATATGTTAAAGGCAAAATTAGCCAGCCAGCGAATGCAGTTCAGACTCAAAAATAGAAATAGCAGCAAATGCTGCTAT